ATTGTGTGTGTGTATGTCTGTATTTTTCTCTTTAAATACAATTAACTTTAATGAGGGTGGTGAGGGCATCTTCCCTCCTAATGTAAAAGAGAAAGGAGGAACTTAAACCCAAGCTAGTATTTCCATTCAACACAATGTCAATCACTGAGTCCTTTATTACCTCTACTGCTGTTATAGTTGTGTAAACTCATTGATACTTTCTCTATCATGGCTGTTATTGGCTTTTGAACATGGTTTTAAAAATATAATTGACTGAAAAGCTGCCCATTGCCACTGTGGCACGTGGAGATAAAGGGAATTCATGCTCAGTGCTGTTGGCTAACTGTATTCCCATGCTGTTGGCTGGTTAACTAAGTGCTAAATGTGGCTGATTTGGGTCTGTTGTTGCGATGAAGACATTGTGCTTGGTTCTTTAAAACATTGATCAAATATAATTGTAAATATCTTCATATTTTATGTATATTCAGTGCTTTTATATAATCTGAATCCTAACCTTCCAGCCTTACGCAGTGTAATATTTCAGTGTCAGCTGTAGTTCCTTACAGCATCAGTGGGCTTTGACTCTGGCACAGCTGAACTGATGGTTCATTGAAAGATCAATTCACCATTGCAATATTGGAAACATAAAGGCAACTTTGTTGGTAAGGTCTGACAAGCAAAATGTCCGACAGGCCAGGCTGGCCATACTGCTTATGCTGTATGAAGAGCAAAAGTAGATCAGAGCCCAAGTGTTTTCTTTCTCTTCTTTTCCTTCCCTTTAGCAGCATAAAGAGTTCTAAGTAAAATTACAGTTTCAGGCCAAAACTTGTCTTACGGAGGAGAGGTGTGAGTCTCAAAATTTTAACATGGATATAGCTGCAAACGTAAACTGCAGTTTATAATGGATGTTTGCTGTCAAACAAGTGATAGAATGTGATGAGACAAAATGAGAAACATGACTTTTTTCATGCAACAGCCATCTACCTGATTTCCCCTAGCTATGATGTACATTACATAGTTTTAAATTATCAAAGCTTTAAAAAAAATACTTATTTTAGTTGGAGCATGGTTTTGTTCATGCTGCATCTCATAACAATGTACTTTATGCAAGCCTGTTGTTGGACAAATTAATTTTGAAGTGACATCATAATTTCTACTTTCTACCGACTTTACCAGCTGTGCACTGAACCAGTTCTAGTGCAGCTGCTTGTGCTCCACCACAGCCCCTCACTGACAAGACAAACAGAAGCTGTAGTTTGTAGCAGCCATAATCTTGTCTATACTACTACAGATTTCTGTTTGTTAGGACATGAAGTTTAAATTAACTCATAGGCTGTTAATGAACAGAATACTCACTAGGACTTAAAGAATTAGCATAGGTTTTCATTAGCTGATAGGTGTCAGCCACAGTAACATTCAATTATTGGCTGATCCTTGAGACTTCCAGCATATGGTATGAAGATACCATACCTTCAGCTGACAAACCTGCTTTGACTGAATATATCTTAATATTCACATTCTTTTTAACCAATTTGAATACTTTTATTTTTTGTTTCTTGCTATTCTTTCTTAACAAAGTAGTTATACGTGAGAAAGACATTCTTTATTTTAATACTTTCTTCTCTGCTATATATATTGATGATTCAGTATCTGCAAGAGCAACATGAATTCTTCAAATGTGCCTGTTTCTGAGTAGCTTTATCTGCTTGATGGAAAATCCCATAGTCCTGCACCTTTTAGAAAGAATAAATGGAAGGAATAAGTGTAGAAGGCTTTTTTATTATTATTATTATATATTTTTTTTTTATTTGAATGCATATGGCTTTGTGGCTTCAATGGCCTGAACTTAGGATAGCATACTGTTTGGAAAGCACATACCCTTTTAACTACCTGTGCAGCATAATTATAACAATCATTGGGCACAAGCCATTGCAGCAAACCTAATGTGTATCAAGAATCAACCATCATTGCACAGAGAATGGCTGCCAGTGCAGCAGCAGCCTGTAATGAAGGACTGTAACAGGTAGAAGAGTCAAAATAGGTTGGTCCTCTCCCCTTCCTTTTGCTTCTGCAGCCTTCCATAAGATGCTCATCTGTAGATGTGAAGCCTTTCAGTCTGAGCAGAGAACAGCAGAAAAACTCTGTCAGGTCAGAGCAGCAGTGAAAAAACCTGATTCTTCCACAAAGTAGAGAGATTTCTAAGCTAGTTTTTAAGTCCTTCATGGTGTTTGTTAACAATATTTGATCTTTTGGTTGATCTGTCCATTTTCAACGATAAAAATACATAGGCAATTTTATGATATCCCTCTGCTATAAGAAAGAATAATATTTTTTTTAATGCTGCTATGAAGTACTCCCCCCCTTAATCCCTGTATTACTCTCTTTCATAAGCTTTGCAGGTGTGAAGGGAATTGCAAGACAACTAAGGAGGCAATATTAACGGTGCAGGTGTGCTGGATGTGATTTCTTAGCTTAGTTGATAATGTATCACTGAACCACAATTCCAGTGAGCCGGTCTGCTCAGAAGCTTAATTAGATCTGGAACACACAGACATCAGAGCCAGTCAACGCGGCATTGTTACTTCCCCACAGAGTTTGAAAATGATGGGAATAAATGCTGTGGCAGTAACAAAAGGTTCCTTTGTTGCAGTTATGTCAGGAAGCCATATGGGGAGGTAAAAAAGGGGTAAGAGGAGACGAAGTTCCTAGAGGATGGGAGTCGTGATGCAGCTGTTTGTGTATGAAGGAAGGGATTTGTGAAATCCTGTCCCAGAGTGAAAGAAAAATCTCTGACATTCCACATACTCCTTCGTCTCCTATATGTTTGCTCCAGTTTGTTTTCTTCAGTTCCTGGTGTTTCTGCTGGAAGAATAGCAGAGCGCCTTGCTAAATGAAGTGGGCCAGTGTGTGATGTGCTTTTTTTGCATTAGTCCTAACTCGTATTTTCATTTTGTTGTTTTCCAGCTGTATCTTGTTGGGGGATCTTTTGGACTCCGTGAATTTGCTCAAATAAGATACGATGTCCACAAACTACATGGCACGGTACTTGAAATGGTTTTCTTTACTCTTCATTTCATTTTGCGTATGTGCTGACTTATAAAGGATAGTTTACTAGGACAAGCAAACTGTTAGTACTGGGACACGTTAATGCCTTTCACCACTGAACCCTGGGCTACACCAGGGGCTCTTAGGCAGTGAGCAGTGTAGATAACAATAGAGGCTGAAATAATGACAAGTCTTTTTGCTGTCTCTGGAAAATGATCAACATAAATAATTTGGTTCCTTATATTGATTATAAATGGCAAGTCTGAGTCTGGAGAAAGGAAGTATAGCACATCTTCCTATTTCTTCTCTCCTGGGGCTGTTCAGCCTGAAGAAGAGAAGTCTCAGGGGTGACCTTATTGCAGCTTTTCAGTGCTTAAAGGGGACTTACAACAAAGTTGGGGAGCAACTTTTTGCTTGGGCAGATAATGACAGGATAAGGGGGAATGGTTTTAAACAAAGAGGGGAGATTTAGAGTAGAGGTTAGGTTAGGAAGTTTTTATAACTAATCTAGACTAAAAAATTGTTATTTTAGAAGGTGCACAATAATCTTTTGGTTCTGTTTTCAAACTATTTGGTGTTGAGTAAACAGTGTTGAATTTTTTGGGGATGCTTTCCTTCAAGTTGACTGACATAAGCAGCTACCTTTAACATTGTGCTGCATCCTGTTCTTTAAGCTCTGTGACAGAAACAGGAGCTAATCTTTACTCCCCATGGCAAAATGTACTATGTGGAAGAAGCCTTTCTTTAAATGTGCTGGAAACCTTCTGAATGAGAGAAGTGGCTTGTTTACCAGTGCTACTTACATCTCTGAGTGTACCATTAGTTCCAAATTATGTGTGAAATGATCTGAAAGGAGCATGCCAGTTAAGTAGGAAGTAGTACTGATTCTCTGTGACTAACTTTGTAGTATGCAAGCCTGCTGTTGCAATGCAGAGAAGCTTTGAGGTCTCAGTGCTGCTGACTTGCAGGTGACCTGAAGCTTTTTTAAAGACTGTGTAGCACTTTGTGTAAGAAGAGTTTGTGTAAGACTCCAGACACTGTGCCTAAGAGGTCCGTGACAAGAGTTCGTAAGGTAGGAAAGAATGGGCTTAGAGCAGCTTTCTACTGTGACCAAATCTTTCAGATCTTTACCTGTTCAGGGTTTGGAGACTCCTTTGTTTTGTCTTAGACCTTGTTGTGGGCCATCTAAATTACTTCATTTGCCCTCCGTTGTTCCTTGTGTTGCATACCTGACTGCGGCCTTTGAGGCACCACGCGGCCCACTTCTCAGTCCCATACTTGAGGTAGCTCTTAAAATGGGAGGGTGATCTTATAACTCTTTTCTACAGAGCTGTGTGCTGGGAAGTTATTTTCTCTCAGGCCTGGGCTTTCAGGACCTGCTGTAGCTAAGTTTTCCTCTATCCAGATGGGGATCACAGCAGAGGCAAGAATTTGCCTGTTGTTTCTGTCAGTTTCTTGGTCAGATTCATACTCAGTGATTACATTTGGCCTCCATGATCTGGACAGTGACCACAGCCCAGAGAAAAATCTAGGTAATAGATGTGTTTGTTCGCATCTATGGGGCTTTGTGTCCCAGCATGTATAATCAAGGAAAGCATCACTGAATTAGGCAGTACATGAAAGCTCTGAGGGGAAGCTACTGCACCCTGGAGTTCTCTGAAAAGTTAAAAGAGGCCATCTGGATTTTGCTACAGCCTGTACTAGTTAAGGCTACAGCATCTCTTTTGTATCTTCTTTTTCTTTTCATTATGATTTTATTTAAGAGTACATGCAATTTAGATAAAGAACAATGCAGTATTGGCTGAGAACCACCAACACCAACCTTGGACTAGTTATAGACAGACAAATTAAAGCAATGTATTTCATTATTGTTTCTATGCCCATAAAGAGTTAAGAACCATTCTAATTCACTAAGACATTATTTCCATTTTACTGCTGAAAAAAATTTTTCAAAAAGGTTGCAAAAAGTTAAGCAAGCCATCCAGATGTAGGTTAGGATTTGTAATACCTGAGTGCCTATCTTTTTTGATTGTATATTAAGGATGTTGAAAGTACTGTACACCTCATTTTGTGAGCATGACTGCTGAACTTGTTTTCTTGCTAATTAAACTGCTAGATAGACAGGACTTAGATGCTCCTTTTGTGGTATATCTAGTACATTTAAAATGCTAAACTGTGATCCCTTCCCGTTAAAACTATTTCTCCTTTTCCTTTTTCAGTTGAATTAGTTTCTGTGTTTTAGTGGCTGAAGGGTTAACTGGTACTTTCTCTTTGTATTCTTGTAATTCAATGAACAAAAGCTGCATTAGTGACATCACCTATGTTATTAACGTCAAACTGAATTATCGTATAAAACAGTGTTTTGAAGAGCATTCCTTGAAAAGGAACTTAAAATTCAAGAGAAAATGATGGTTTGGACTTTGGAGGGAATATGGTTTGGTGATGATGCGGTGGGTTGGGAGTAGGATTAGGGTTGAGAGAGAAACAGTTTAGAGCTGTAGCAGGATGGGGCTGCAGAAGGAGCTCTGTCCTCTTGGTCATCTGGGCCATGCCTTGGTATCTGGGGCAGAGGCTTGACTGATGAGTGAGGTGAGGGTTGGTATGGGGACAGAGCTGTAGTTGGAGAGGGGCTGGAGGCAAGAATGGATGTTTTATCCAATTAGAATAGCACCTCTGGATATCAGGGCATTGTTTGAGTGCATGCCTTTCAAAAGCTAAAAAAAAAAAAACTCTAACATTTTGGGTATACCTTAATTTACTTGGCATACCTAGATCAGCTGTATTCCCTCAGGACACCGGGTATCCTGCATTTAAAGCAAACTTGTGCTGAGGCACTTATTGATGTAAATGCCTGTTTATGCCAGTCAGAATTCTCCTGAAACTAATCAAGGACTTCTGCATTATCTATTGTTGCCAAAATGTCCATTAATGGAGAAATCATTAGGTTGGGTAATTGTTTCTTTTCTGGGAAGAATTTATGCAAATTGAAATTGGGTATAGCAAACCAGGTATGCTTACGGGAAAATCACATTGGATTAATGGAGGAGAAATGAGTAGTTTTGTATAGGCATCTTTCCAAACATCTTTATTCTCGATCAGAAAACCGGGCCCTTTCTTTGTCTTACTTTAATGTTGTGTATGTAATTGTCTAGTGATACTTTTTTAAGAAGTGTTTTAAAACTGAAAATGTCACTTCCATTTAATATACAGAAAATGTTCCCTTTCAAGTGTATAATCATTTCAAGTATATAATAATTGTTGGTTTGTTTACTGTGTGCCTACTGTTGTCATTCAAGGCATGGTAGAGACTTGCTGCTTCAGGTCTAATTCTGGATATAAGAATCTTGGACAAGAGTAATGACTTCATGGTTTGTACCATTAACAAATGGTTACTGTGAAGGGCTGAAGGGAAGCAAAGTTTTAACTCCCTGGGGAAATCTAGGCTTTTAGTCCCTCAGCAAACTGTTTTGACTAATAAAACAGAATTTTTATTTTTAAGTTGGTATGGCTTTATTGAAGTGGAGTTACTGTGAGTCAGGTTCTCAGAGTACAGGGAGGAGGTAGGAAGCAAGTTCCTTCAGGGCACATCCAGCAGGAGCGCTTCTAGGAAACGTAGAGTCTCTAGATCATTTTGTCAGGATGCAAAACATCAATGGGCCTTTGAAGTCTGCAAATAGTTCCTATTGTGGAATATATAAAAGCATTACAGTACTGACTGACCTCTTCAGTGATTATAAGCTATGTAGATTCTGATTCACTTTTATTTTGTCCTAAACAAAGCGAGTGCACCTCTAAAGTAGAATGCTAAGAAATCCAGGTAATGTTTTCTGTCTTACTGAGGTATTAAGTGACTGTAGAAAGCAGTCACTGAATTTTAGTGGGTCTCACTTTCTCTGTAAGAGGAAGATAATTAATGCTGCTCTAATTTACATAGAGAATAGGGTAGTTAATTAGTTCAAATAGAATTATTTAAATTCAAATGAGTATTTTTTTAAAAGTACTTCCTCAGGTGAGATCCATTAGTTCAAGTGCTTTGGTCAGGGTGAAATATTTCAGGTGGAAATGGGAGCAAAAGAAATGACCTGTTTCCATCAGACCTTTTTATCAGGTGAGATCATAACTGGCATTTGCCTCAGGAAGGTCTGGGAAATCAGTCCAGCATTTTCTTCTGAATAAGCAAGGGGGGGGGTCTGCTGATTTGAATGCATTTGTGTGTGTGTGTGTGTTTTTTTTTTTTTTCCTTTTAAATAATATATTTTATGTGAGGTGAAGATTTAAAAACAAAAGTGCTTAAGACCCTGAATGGGTCTGTAGCATTTAAAATGCCCAAAGCAATGCCATTTTTTTTTTTCAAAAATATAGTTGTTGACTGTGAACAGATTGACCCCATCGTTAAACGTGTTGTTATATCTACCTGAGCTAGATAGAGCTGCTTTATCATAGCTGTCTTGTTCACCGTACTTGAGGACCTGCAGCTCTGTTAAAAAAAATACTATTTGCAAAGCTATCAAAGATAATAAGGATTTACTGGGACAGCAAACAGTATTGTAGCAGAATGTAAAGGTGTGATTTTCACATTTTTCCCCCAAATTAGTCAACTGACTGAAGATTGCAAGGTGTTTTTAATGAAGTTCTTAATGGATAAATATTTGTGCTCGAAATCATATTATACCTTGGTGTTCCCAAAGATCATAAGCTCTTGGCGAAACTTAAGTGTCATCACGATTTCAAGGAGTAATCTGGATAGGTGAAGTTCTTGTGATTGGCTGGACGGGAGAAATACATGGTGTTGTAGTTCTTATGGTAACTAATGGGTGTAACTATTGCTGCCTGCTCAGGTCATACTATTTGCTCAGTTGTCTTTGATTTTCTGAAGATTTCCTGCTTGATTTTGTTCCAAAATCATCCTCTAGAGTTCCAGGTGTGTCAACACCCCTTTCCGGTGTTAAGGTCACAATAAATGCTAACAGTGTTAATTTAAAATAGTCTAAATTGGATTATTTGTATTATTAGAGTTATGTAAGTGAAATTATAACTCTAAACGTATGTATGCAATGCAGTGCACTGTCTAGGACTCATCTTGATCGTGTTTCCATTGTCTTGAATGAAAAGCCTAGTTTGAAATAGCTATCCAGACAGCTATTTCAGATAGCTAGGTGGTTTGAGACAGAAATTCCTCTGCAATAAGCTTAATTCCATTTTCAGGGAGATGCTTGAGGAAGACGTTCTGTTTTGACTGCAGGAAAAGTAGAGGGATTGAGCTCAGCGCTTTATTGTTGCCACATTTCAGTGAGGTGAGTTGCCATCCTTTGCATGTGGGTATATTTAATTTGACCAGTGAATGGTAGGTGATACAAACCTTTGCACGACTTCAGATGCAGAAGAGTTAGTTCCATTTTTGGATGCATATCTTAAAAGTAGCATTTGTTGCCTCTAGAAATACCTATCTATCTCTACTCAGTTGATTGTAAGAGGAGTTTAAACAGAATTTTCATGCTTCAGATCAAAAGTTTAGATAGCTACAACTAGGTAAGATGAGGCTTGCCCTAAATGTTCTTTCCCTGGAGCTTCATTGGCAAACCAGTAGGAATGGGCTGAAGGTGAAGGAACTCATTTCATCTGCTGATCCTCTTTGAGATGTAATGTGATTCTAGAGAGTTTCTTTCTGTCTCTTCCGTAATGCTGTAGGAGGTAGTGTTAAAAAGGTCCTGTTTGATTTGAGTGTGAAAACAAAGAAGAACATAAAAATCTCTTTAATTGATGCTTGGTGGATTTTTTTGGATGGGGAAGGTATCTTTTCGAAGCTTGTCAGCAAGGAAATACGTAATCATTTTAGTGTCCGTGTCTGTCACTGAACTTGGAGGAATAATTAAGTCTTCTCAACTAGCATTTATCTAGCATTTATTTATTTATAATGCACTTTAATGCATTTAATTGGTTTCAGTAAGCTAATTACACAAGCACAGGGATTGATATTGGCTTTTTTTTTTTTAAACTTAAGCAGGTCAGGGTGGCCTGAGTCACAAGTTTAATGAAGACAAACTAATTTGGCTAATTTCCTTGTGTAAGTTGATTTAGGTGATTTTCAGAGACTAAATTAATTAAAGAGCTTGGCCCTAGGTCCTCTAAAAATTAAGAAAATAAAACACTGAAGTGTTGCTTGGTTCTTTAGAGAATGCAAAGAGGCATACATTTATGATTGCTTATAACAGAAGAAAAATCTTTGCCTGTCATTTGTCTTTATGTAATGAAGAACATTTTGCTAAATTAAAGCAGACCTTGCTTTCAAGCATGGCCTGCTTAGTGGAGGGTTTTAGAATTGGATGTTAAGTGAAGCAGCCTGGCCCCTGTTGGCAGGGAGAATTTGGAAATTGCTACATCTTTTGACCGTGGTTCAGAATTATCCAAGGTAGTAATTTCAGTCCTACAATATGGCACAGAAATGAAGGGGTAGCAGAGCTTTTCATGCTCTGTATTGTGGTGTTACCAGATGTTCAGACATCAGTTTTCTGCTGTTTCGGTTCAGTCCAGAGGGACTGTATGGAAATAAGCTCTCTATCCATGCTGTTCTTGAAGATTTTGAGGTTCAGCTGCTAATGTTGGGCTTCATGTATTTTTCATTGATTTCAGGAAAAACTAATCCATTTTGCTTGAGCTCAGATTACTTTCCCACTTCATGTATAAACAGGTGCTTGCTGAATTTGCTGTACCAGACAGGCCCGTATATTTCCATTTTTTCAGACATCCTTTTGGTTTAGCATATTAACAATCCAAAAGCCAACTATGTAGTCAGCCTGATGTTCAGTAACAGTTTTGTTGCTCCATTCTGAGGCTGATATTGTGTATATGCTTTAGAATGGCTTCCAGTGATTGGATCCACCTAGTCTCTCTGATTATTGTCACCACAAACAGCGTAAAGCACTGTAGGACAGCCTGGAGATAATGTATTGCCCGCAGCTGCCCTTTTCACATCATCATGTTTCAAGTTGAAGAAAAATGAGGCCCAGCCCATCTAGCCTGTTCTATTGAAACCAGGAGATCTGTCAATACCAGAAGACTTATACTAATTACCTGAAACAGCAATGGGTGCTCAGAACCTCACTAGGGTTGTTAAAAGTTGGGGAAATCTCATTAAATCAGGATGTGATGATGATGATAAAACAGTATTATTTGGTAATATGTGTTCACTGAGGAAGAATTAAAGTGGTACTAATTTTTAACTTTGAAATAACTTTTTTATTTTAATGAATATTTAGTTTCAGTCTGGTAATACTGTGCCAGAATATTTTTTGGCAACGAATGTGAAAATTTATTGTTAATGATGCTGAGTTTGGCCACAGACCCTAAATAATAATCTTTGGAGTTTCCATGATAAATTATTTCACCGAACCCTCGTCATGCTTTTTTCATAGGTTTCTTCAGTGAAGGAAAGCCGTTACCTATTAGTGCCTGAGTATGCAATGACTACTACTAGTGTAGAAATGACAGTTTTTTTCTACCTAGGATGCTAGGATGTCATGCTGTGTCTCGTTTGTAAGGATACATTAACAGACATTATTTGAATGATATAAAAATGTATTTGAGCGGCGGAGAGGTGTTGTGTCTTTAACTCAATTTTCCCACTATGCATAAAAGATTCAAGGGCTTAATATCTGTCTAGATCTAAAGGTTTTTTTTCCCTAAAATTTCCATTGCATAGCTGTCTGTGTATCACTGTTGGACTGAAAATCTGCTATATCCCTAGTACTCTGCTTTTGGCCAAGCTCTCTGGTACCAGAGCTTTCAGGGTGCTGCATGCTTGGCATCTATGAAATTTTTTAGGTTCCATTAAATAGATATTTCTCAATCTGCGTTAGTGAAATGCAATCTCAGCAAGGTGAGTTGATGATTACAACCTATGAGGCTTCATGCAATATGCCTGTAGAAGTATGGCTGCTTTCTGGTACCTTCTCATTCAGTCAAAGGCCCTTGCCCAGGATGTTTATGAGAGTTTAAAGGCACATTTAATTTCTCTGGGAAGCTCTTCAGCCTTTCCTGTTGTTTGTCTCTAGTTACTGCTGCTCCAGTTGCTGCCTAGCGTGTATCCCCCTTCTAGGCATCTCAATCTCACTGCTTTTGTTTTTTTTTTTTTTTAATTTCCAAGTTTAATTCATGCTGCGGATTTTGCTGTGCAACTGGGTGCTAGGTCCCTGTAAGTCTAGTTCTGAATCCTGAGATGTGTATAGCAGCAATGTGACCACTGCTATGTTACCTGTCCTGAACTAGTAAATACCCTGGTGGCCCCATGTGCTGTTCCAAATTTCTTGTGTATGTATGCACGTGGGTGCACTTAGAAGATTGCTGTAGGGTGAATGCTTCATGTGAGGGCTTGCTCATTTTTTTTTGTCCAGGAAACTGAGGACAGAACTTGGATCCTATCTGGCGTATCTTACTCAGGAGTACTCAGTAAATGCAGCATGCTAGGTATGTTCTGCACAGCTGCACACAAGGTAACTCTCTTTGGAAGTGTGACAGTCCCACCACACACACACATTCTGCAGGATTTCCAAGCATCTAGCAACCGCGTCAGAGCTACTGCATGACTATGCTGCCCAGCATCTGGAAATTCCAGGCAAATGGCCAAATTTCTCTTTTTTCTGTCTGGACAGAATTTCTGGGTGGAAAAAAAAGGCTGCGTCTGGAGAAAGCTGGACATCTGGCAGCTTTACCTCAGATTACTGAGCTTCTCTGTGACAAAATATGAAATAGAGTGCAAGTATTCTGAGTTCCTCATTTTCAAACAGAAGCCATTTTTCCATTTCATAATTCTTTATGGTGTTTCTTTTCTGTTGTCAAGATTAGATTCAGATGAAGAGGAGGCTATTAACTGGAGAAACTCATTCTGCTGCCATTGTAAGTGGAACTAATTTCAGTTTATAAAATGTTGATAGATTTCAGATTTTTACATTTTATACAGTACCAAGAATTCTGTTTGGTTGTTTTAAATCCTGTCACATTGACACAATTAATTACTAGTATTTCTGCCTTGCAATTGAAGTGATTACAAGTGTGTAATTTAGCTTCAGGCAGCTTTTAGCCAAAACATATTTAATATCCAGCTGTTTTTCCCCCTCACCTCCTTCGAGCACCAGAAGACAACTAGCTTTCCAGACTCCTGTTGTGAAGCTGATGGCACTGGTCTCAGCAGATTGGAGCTCAAGTACCGAGGTGCCAGTCCCTAGACCAGGATTTTCTGCTGCTTTTGACTTGAAGATCTCAACGTTTTTTACCAAGGGAGTGTTGAAAACACTTTGCCTGGGAACAAATCTTTCCATTTTAAGTGTGATCTCTGAGTGCACCTTTCCTTTCTTCCCCTTCGTGTTTTGAGGCTGGAAAGTCTCAAGTCAACTGGTTCTGTTCCAAGCTATGGGTTACGTGGCAGTCTGAAACAGCAGAACCCAAACTCTTGTCTGGAGTGCAATCACTAATGAGAAGGGAAAACATATAATCCGTCTCTCTTCAAAAATCTGCCACTGCACAAGGCATTTATAGTTGTGCTTGTGATTCAATAGGCGATATATTTTCCCTGGAGTCAGCACTGAGCCTCCTGTAAGTTGTGTCAGGCAGTTCTTAACTGCCTTCGTTTGATGGGGCATAAAAATGAGACTTTGCTTTTAGAACCTTTAATGAGTGCTGAAATTAACATTGTAGCTGGTGTAAGAGTGTGTCTTGCCTCCCTGGAGGGCAGCTTCAGGAGGGTAGAAGGCATTTGCGTTTGTTGTCCCTGTGCGGGTAGACTGACAGCTCTGGGGCCAACAAATTCATGGGCTCTCTTTAACAGTCTGTCCACTTTTAAACCCTCAAAGAATACTCATGCTTTTTCATACAGCCTTCCATTCTCTGTGATGATTCAGAGCAGGAGGCTAATTTAGGTATTCCCAAAGGACTCTTTCTTTCTTCATTGATTATGGAGAGAATGTAGGAATGAATACAAGCTTTGCAGGTACTGCATAGAGAAGAGAGAGAACTTGCCTTATTAATATCTGAAGTGTATGAATTAAAGTGTTTTTCATTCATAATTCACATTGAACTTAGTAAAGTTGTGGATGGTTTCTTTTTTTGGTGTTGGATGTTTAGCCCTTAAAAGTACAATAATAGCCAGAGGGCTTGGGGATCTGCTTTCTGATAGCTGTTGTTGAGTCTTACAGTATTTTTTTTTAATACTGGAAGTATGACATGTTTCTTTTATGGTGTTTTTGTTTGTTTTCTACAAATAGATATGTTACATTTGAAAAAATACCTTAAGCAACAAGATCCAACTGATCAGAACACCTACTGGGAAATGGGAACTGCAGATTTTCACCTGGCATAATGGAAAAACAGTAACTTTGTTAAATATATTTTAAGTTTAATTATCCCAGATCTTATCTTTAACTTCCTCTAATATGCCCCAGATCTTATAGTGATAACTTCCTCAAATATACTCATCGGAATTTCTGGGACTCTGGCAGGTAAATGTGTTATTTAAAAATAGTGGCAAGATATCTTTTAAAATAAAAGAGTGCATAATGTACAAATGTGCTACAAATTCTAGTGAGTTTTATACATAAGTTAGTAATTGAGATGTGGCTAATTTGGAAGATGAAAAGCTTTCTGTGGGTGCAAAATAGAACAGGATTTTTCTTTTTACTGTAAAACTTCACTAGATGTCAGTGTGGAAAGTATTTTTACTTAAGTGCTATGTAAGCTGTAGAGTGAGAAGCTTTCTTAAAGGCAGTAATTCCTTTAGAACATGGAGATTTAGGATGGCAGTTATTAAAACTCGGAAGTTTTTTTTCTTTTCAAAACATAGTTTATTTGCAGAGATGCAGTTTCAGGACAACCAAAGCATATTTGCTATGTTCACAATGAATTCCCAAAACTGTTTCTGTTAAAATTGCCTTAAAAAAAAAAAAAAGTCAACATTTTTTCAGTACTTACAGAGAGTTTTGAGACTTGTATTGTCTGTGAAAGTGGCTTCCTAAAACATAACAAAATACAATTTTTAGAATTAAAACCCTACACATACATAAATATTCCTTAATGTTTTGAGTCAGCAGAAGAAAATGTATATTGAAGTTGCTTGCTTTTAACAGAAACTTAAGGGATTTTCCTGTTTTTTAGAGTTACCACAAAGAGGCTGATTCTGTCCAAGGCTAGCATATGAGTAAGGGAGTGGGAAGGAAAATCTTAAACTGCGTGTGTGCTGTTTTCCCAGTTCCTTTCATATTTGTGCATTTTTTATTCAGTATGAAAGCTTTTGCTTCTGTCAGTAAAGATACGACTCTGAATGCAAGAGATCAATGTTTTCAGGTTAGAATGGGACGTGCCTTTTGCATATGCTAGTTAATTCAGTATTAATAATAACTAACATGGTGATGGACTAAACAAAATATGCAGAAAACACACTCTAAAAAGTAAATGACAAATATATATTAACAGCAGAAGCATTGTAAGGAATTCTGACAGGTTTGTTAGGACATTGCAAAGTGCCCACAGGTAAGTTAAGGTATGATGAAACCCATATTTAATGAGTTGAAATTTTTTAGTAGATTTTATGTATTTTTCATAAATTATACCCACTTTGAGGAAAATTGTTAAGTACTGCTTTTGTAGCATTTCCTTTTTTCTGGACTGATACCTTAAGGGCATTTAGTTTGTGTCTTGTATTTCACAGTGTTTAAGTGGCTGTAACAGGCCAGGTATAGCATACTAAAGAGGCTTCACAAAGGCACCTTGAGAAGTTATTTTAATATTTTTTGAAATAGATGACTTACTCCTCTTACTGTTTTTCCTGGCAGTGCTTTGTGATAGCCGATTCAACAAATTCTGCAATTCCATTCTTCCAGGTTAAAAATCTCCTGTTAGCAACCACTGGTCTGCATTGTGGCCCAGAGGCAAGGCAATGCCATTGCCTTGCTTTTCACCTCTTTCTTTGCTAATAGATTAAAACATTAAATCCTTGGACTGTAAAAGCAGGCTGAACCTTTTTTGTCTTTCTTGCACAGTGTAGTTTATGCTGGAGTCTTAAACATGGTTTTCCAATTCACCTGGAAGATCTTACACTTTTGTTTCTTGTTGTGAAGGAGCTAAAAATGAGATTTGGGAAAAACTGCACACAATACTCGGTGAGTTCCTCCCCTTGTACTTGAGCTATAGGGGAACTAAGACACAGCAAAGCTCAGGAGTGCTGGCCCTGAGATCCTGTACCAGAGATATTTGTCATTCTGACCTCAAGGTGATAACAGAGGTGGTTGGGTCTATGCCTGGGACTGATTCATCTTCATGCACACAGCAAGATGCCTATTTTTTTGCAGGAACCTTTCACACACACAAAAAAGTTCTTGCTGTTACTTCTAGAGTTGTGGCCTTGTTTGTCTGTTTAATTTCCTGTATTGGAATACTTTGTTTTATACCAGAAAGAATGGGTTTTGCACTGAATTTTAGTGTGAAATGAAATTTATGGTAGCATATACAGAGCCAGGGTTTAAGGCACTAATTTACGTTTTATAAATCAAATAAGTAAATGTGCACCTGCAAAATCAAGCAGAATGCGAAAGCATACAAATCATTGATTAAGTGCTTGAGTACTTTTTTTCTCGGAAATGAGAGCTAGAGAACCCTTGTTAGATTTGATGATTTTACATGAAGAAATCTAGATATGCTTAAGTGCTTGCTGATGAAGGGGATGGTTTCATCTTTGTATTAGCCTTTAACATAATAGCTTGCATTTCCCTTGGCATTATTATGTGAAAATGTGTGGTCCAGAGTTTGGGATTGTAGGTTTTTTTTTAATCCGTCTGGAAGCAAGTAGAAGATTTGGATTTTGAGAGATCACTGGCACATCGTGTACCATAACTGTGGGAACTGCTGCTGTAATAAGATTTTTATATTGCTCCTTTGGAAATGTCTGCATTGATTCCTGTCAGAGGCTGGATGAAATATTTTTTTGTTTAACTGTCTGTGTTCTATGCAGATCTTAGGGAAGAGTCAAAGGACACAAACCTGAGTTGTAGATTTGATCTCAGATGTCTGCCCACTATTCAGAAGTATTCCTGTCTGAGCTTATGCAGTAGCCTTATGCAAGTGTTTTTCATATATTAAATATTAGGAATAATGTAGTTAAACAGTGCTGGGCATGAAGTTGCATGTAACAGTATGTTTTCTCTTGCACTTTCCTCTTACTTACGCTTTGACCTTTATTTTCTTAATTCATTCAGCAGAATGACACTTAGTTTAGCTTTTATGTGACACTGCCTGAGTTCTGGGATTTATGCCTTGTCTACAGCTTCTCAGTCTACTCATAAACCACAAGTTGCAATATTTATAACATAGACTTCTGTAACAACTTATGGGACTCTCTTCTCAAAAAGAAGATTTAAGTTGATCCACGCAAGATTGCTGATTTTCCATTTGAAGGAGCAGGCATGTGATGAGTGTATTCAAAGAAGATGTTTTATTGGGATGGCCCAAAGTGGTAGTGCTGGTTGATACTTGATTTGAAAAATGGGTAGGGAGAACAAACTGCAGAATTTCATGTAAGGAGTCATTCTGTGGACTGTCTGTGTTGTGGATACTGCAGGAGAATTGTGTCCTATCTGTTTGTGCTGGTGTGAGCAGATGGGGGGGGAGGAGGCATAATTCACGTTCATTAAAGCCAATCCATTGTCCTTCCTCATTTCCCAAGTAAAAGCTGAAATCTTTTAGTGGGATATTATTTTGTGGGGGTTAGGGTGTAAGAAAGAACACTCGCGTTTTTGTAAAAATAACTGATTTGTTTTAGGGTATCAACACTAGTGTCTTCTGGAAATGTTTGTAAGAGGGAAAGTTTTGTAAGACTTTGGTGTACAAATATTTGGTCAGGACATGCCGGTCTCTGGACACGAGTATACAATGTACTGCACAGACTGATGTGAGAGGAGACTGCTAAAAGCAGTCCTCCCCTCATGACACGGTTGTCTCTTGACAGTTTCGTTGTGTATCATGAGGGAACCCATAATTTTAGAGCATGTAATGTACTCAAAGCTTGGCTTGTACTAAAACCCATGGCTACAAATAGTAAGTACATACAGACAAATAAAGCATACTGGTTGTAACTGAAAGAGTGGCTGCTTGTGAAGGTGGGCTACTGAAGTTGCACACCCAGGTGTGATGGAGATGCTGCCCTGAAAATCAGAACATGAATCAACCCGTTTCTCCTTTCCGAAGGCTGAATGGGAGCGATGCTGCTGATCTGCTTCGTATTCCCATGCTCAGTGTTGAAAGGGGACAGCGGTGTTACTCTCCAGGATTCTTTGTGGAAGAGTTATCCTTTACATATCCTTGAGGTAAAATTGGTGACATTCACAGATTTCAGTTGCTCTCTGTCTACGTTATTTACTTCTAAACCACAATGTACTGTGGTCACTGAAGACCAGCGCAAAATTGTTAGGCAGAGAATTTTTAGTAGCAGCACATTCAGGTCTGTAAATATACCAGAAATATTTGTGTCACAAATAAAAATTTCTCTTTACCCAAGAGAGGCTAACAGTTTTTCACAGCATGCTGCAGGAGTCCCTGGTCTGGTGGGGGTTGCAAGCCCAAGGTATTCCTGCTTCGTTCTGCAGTGATGCTCCTCGTCTGCACCCAGAGGTCTGGCTTAGAGGGAAATATGTCAGCTGGTTCTAATGGAAAACCCAAAATGTCAGCCTTAAAATGAGAAGTGATGGCCACGTTTTAAAAGGATTTAAGGTGCTTACAGCTTCAAATAGCTGCCTACTAAGATTTCTGAGAATATTTTTGGGCTTAACCCATATTACTTTTAGTCACCTAAGAGTATTTTTAAAGTCATTCTCTCTGAGAATTTTGAGAACCTTTTGAAGTTTAGTAGGGGTAAGGCTGAAAGAATGGGAGACAAAAATGGGACAAAATTCTAATTCGATAACTCTTAAACTTTTTTTGAGGTTTGCCTGTGTACTTGCCCTTGCACTTCCGATTGACGTGATGTGAAGTAAGCTCTGAGAATGTTTCACTCACTTTTTCTACAAGTGCTACACAATTGAAGTAGGGAGGGGTCAGCCTGCCTTGGAAAATGGTATTTTCAGTATTGGTGTCCAGGCCTTGCTGATGGCTTTTCATGAAAGCTGTCCAAATACTTGTATCAAGTATTCCAATAGATTTTCAGTAAGAATTTAATTTAAAATCATGCACTAATTAAAAGAACGACATGGGTCTTTGAATTCTGTATTTAGTGACAGAGCTTGAATTTAAATGGATCTTAAAGGAGCATCTGAGATTTTGCCTGACAAGCAGTAGTCCCCCAGTGTAAAGGGATGTTGTCTTCTGCTCCTCCTGCCTCCTAAATTATGGTGCAGAGGACAGTGCTAGGCTGTGAGGGCATTTGGGCTTTGTGTGCTTCCCCATATCAGCTCTCGTAACGGGGATTTGTATTCATAACATAGCTGATGATTCATTTGCCAGCACAGTTCATTCAGCAGCCTGTGTGTTGGCACAGCAGTCTTAGTGGAAGCAATCTGTATGTGCTTGGGTTGGGGTCTTGCGGCAGGGGTGTAATATAGAAAAGTTACCCCTTTGGGACAGGCACGTCCCTGGCTCAACCCACACCGTGTTCCCCGGTTATGATCTGGGATTGTGGTTCTTACTGATGTTTGTCTGCCTGGTCAGAATGAAAACAGGACTGTTCTGCTTTCCTCTTTTTGTTCTTGTAATGCCGCAAGGATAGTGCAGCATGGTGCAAACACTGCGAGAACAGAGCTTTATAACAGACTTTTCATCAACTGCCTTGCTGGTTCTAAAAATGATTTGTAACCTAGATTTGTCTAGATTTGGCAACTGAAAAGCGGGGGTTTGCAACCAAGGCTTTGGAACATGCACATGACTCAGTTTCTGTGCAGAGTCAAGGGTGTTCAAATTATTTTTCATGGTTAAGTATGTACAGAACAAAAATGGTAAAGACAAGAGGAAATACATATTTGCTCCCTGATATTTTTGTGCAACTTGAAGCAAAATAACATGTTCTGCAGATTGGACTTAAGTCTTTTGTGTGCTTGTATAGTAAATATTAAGAGCTTGCCAGCAAGTGTGCATAGTTTCCCCTCAAGATAGGGTTTAACTGCTATTTTTTCAGTAAGTTAATTTGCTAGATAAAATTTGTGCTTCTAAGAAAGTACTTTCTCTTCATTTCTCATTTATGAGATAACTTTTCTCTCTCTCAAAAAAAAAATAAATTTAAACTAACCTCCTTCATTTCTGCATTTTTGTCAATATTACAGCTATGAGCCCCAGGATGCTGGGTCTCAGTTTTAGCTAGTCTTCTCCCTGTGTGCAGGCAGAGGAGAACAAATACACAAGGAAGTATGAGGACAGAAGGACTTGGAGAAGTGGCAATAACTTCACTGCTTGTTTCCCTTTACTTTATACAAATGTGGCCGTGCAAATGCCACACACTAAAAATTGCTAAAGTAAACCTTGATAATAGGAATATTGAGGTGCTTTTGTAAGCTAAATTATAGCCATGGTTAATTAAGTAAAAATGATGCTCCAACTGTGTTATCTTGGGTGCCTTCTTATTAAATGGAGAACGTAGGAGGAAATAAAACTCCCTTGCTTTTTTACCTGCTGGAGCATCATTTATTTCCCCTTCCCCATGTGTGTGTTGTGAGAACACTAAGCATAACAAATAGTGTTTGCATTTAGTTCTGAATACACTGAGGTCCGTGATCACTCTTATCTTTGTGAAAGCAAGCTCCAAAGTGTGTCTGGCTGCCCGAAGAGGTCTCGTTTCTGCACGTGTGATGGATGGGTTCATTGATCTAATGAGGCATGGCTGTTGTTGGAGGTCGTGGTCACAGAAAGAGGCAGGCAATCTGTCTTTAATGAAGGGCAGTCCTATGGAGTCCTTGAATACCAAGGCAGAGATGTGGCATCTCATTTTTTATTTGATGTAGGGGGCCAATATCCCGTTTTACAGAAGTTGTTATTACAGAGGATGTGAGAGCTGCGTCCTGTACAAACTATGAATGTTTTAGATGTTATGACTTAGTTCCCGACTGTTATGGGTTTATAGGTTGCAAATGCATGCGCTGCTGAGGCCAGATCTCTGGGTGGATAGGGAAATGACCCTCTGGCCATGCACGGGTGGTGCGAGGCTGGGCTGTCTGAGCAGGCTTGGGAACAGAGGTCTCACATGCTGCGTGCTGCCTAGCATCATCACGGGGGGCATTATGGCTCAGGGAAATTTCTCAGAGCAATACCCCTCGTTGTAGATGGTACGTATGTATTTTAAGTACCACTAAGGGTCATGAGCTAAGTGACTTTCACATGCTTTTCTTGGGGCAGGATCTGAAGGTAGCCCGGGAGAGCTCTATAACTTGTTTTCTCTCCTTTTTATTTTCTAGACTGCTTATAGACGTTTGAAGTTGACAGGGGCAGGGACAACTGAGTACTTTTCACTCAGATCAAGAAGCAGCAAATTACGAATAAGAACTTTTGTTCATTGAGCTGGTCATAGTTGGACTAGTGAACCATACATGTAGAACTAAATACATTACCAATCCCCTTACACATCTGATTCATTTAGCACTGCTTGCATTTAAGGTCTAAAAATGAGAATGGTTTGTCATGGTAGATTTATTTGATATTTTAATTGATTAGCTTAAAGACTGTGTCTGAATACTGCATATTTGGCTGATTTCTCTTTGAGGAGAAGATGAAACACTTTCTCTGAGGATGGAGAATGCTAGTTTTTTCTCCTTTACTTCTGCTCTAAGGCCTGTGTGAGACAGAATTAGCAAGGGGAGGGATGACTATAGCTTCCTTCGGGCTCAATTATGTAAGATTCATCCTCTGTGGTTCACTCAAATTTTTGTTCTTAGGTTTGTTCTTTGACCACCTGAAAGGTGGCAGGAATCACAAGTGTTGGTACAGAGTCAAAGCTAGGAAAGAGCAGTGCACTCACTGAAATTTGGAAGTGTGAGTCATGTACAGACTTTGTAAAGCAGAGTGTATTGTGTGCCTACTCACTGAACATAACCATTCAGGAGTAAAATATGTATGTGATGGCAATTTTCTCTTTACTGGTCCTCTTTTGTTTGTTAAGGCTTTGACTGTTTTGAAATCGCCAAACCAAACACAGGTTTAAATGTTAAATGTAATGCAAGTACATGGCTAATTATAAATGTGTTTCCTTTTTGATTTGTTGACATGTCTCTTTTGAGCCCAATTCTTGCACTGTGTTCATCATACTGGTGTCTGAACAGACAGCACGTATACTTTTTTAGAGTAGAGGAGGATTTACATATACCAATACTTTGTTTATCTGAGGTTACGATTTCTTTTAGAAGCTCTTAAAAACAAATGTTTTTTGCTATATTTTTGTTTGTTTTACAGGTTGATCCTGCTTTGAAAGAAAAATTAAAACAGAACAATGTGACGCTGGAATCGGAATATGAGGTAAAATAAATCTATCGCTTGGGGCTCATAACCTTGGCTACCCTTGATTACTCTGGCCGCTGGTGGGGTGGATCTGTCCCTATCTAAAATTAGATTAACCATCTGCCTTTGACTCACTGATGTCTAATAAAAACAAGGTTTTATGTAAAGAAAGGTTTTTGAACATGCAGTGCTTCTTTCTGAACACAGCTTTGCTTTGATGTCCAGGTGTCAAGTACAGTGGTACAAATAAATTCCACTATGGCTGTGGTTTACCTGGTCTATAAAAGCAGAGCTGATGTTGGACTTAGATGGAATATGTATATCTAAACACTTCTACCACATAGATTTTGATGATCTGCAGCTTGAAGTACAGAGCAATGTACTTGATGTGCTGCCTGCTACTATTTCTTGCTTCTTAAAACTTCTCTGTAGCTTTCAAACAATTGCCATTACTTTTTCGTAATTTCAGAAAACTTTATAGAGAAATATTTCCTTATTTTTTCAACAACTTTCTTCAAAGATTATTGAGCTCCAAAACAGCTATTTTGGCCAGTTTAATATCCGGAGTTTCAGAAAACTACAGGCCTACAAAAAACCTTGTTAGGAAAACTGGAAAAAAAACCTCCCTGTATCCAGAAATAAAGGATTAGGGATAGTTCTGATGATTGTTAATGTTTTTAAATTACATGGATCAAATATGCAAGTAACACGTTATCTATCCCCATGGTCTTTATGTTGATCACAGATTTTTCTTTGTCTTCCCATACTACATTCCTGTCACAGGCCTTTCAAGATTTTGATTGTGATTGCATCCATAGCTCTCATACCCAAGTATTTAAATGGTAGTACATGGTCTTGCTAATAAAACTTTTCTATTACTTTACTCTTTTGTGATTTGTCTCTGAAATAAAAATAAATTTTATCTCTTGCACTTTTATGCATGTAATTTCGCAGAACATCTACCTACCTACCAGGTTTATGATAATGTTCTACCATTACTGCAAATAATTTTGGGCCATCCTCGCTCTACAAAGAACTGTGGTGTATAGTGTTGGAAATACAAATATTTGATCTCTGAGTACATGTGGGAAGCTCAATTGGAAACACAAAACATACACATCCATTAAGTTCTGATCGCCCATGCCATTACTCTGTATGTCACTTCCCATATAATGTACTATAAGGCTATTCTGATTTATTTATATGGAAGAACCACAAGCTGTAAAAAAAACCCACAGTCCTCTGTTTAACTCACTACCTAACCACAAAATCAACTGATCTGTATTCAGATATGGTTAGCTTTCTTTCCAGCAAGATAAGTAAATAGTTGAAGGATAATATTTAAATGACCATAAATGGATCCGCTTTATGGAGAAATCGATGGTAATAAAATATAAGTAGCATAACAACATATTACAACCCTACTTGGGTAATGAGGCTCCTTCCTGATGGACAGAAGTGACAGAAGCAATCTTACTTTTTCTTAATATAAACCACAGAGAGTTGCCAGGCTGCAACTCTTCCAAAGTAGTGCTTGGGTGTTATAGAGGGCAGACCAGTTCAACAAAACAAATGGGCTTGAATTTCCACACAACTAGAAGAGATCAGTTTTCTGTGGACCTCATCTGTACCAGTATAGCAATTTTTTTCCCACCTCATCTTTATTTCTTTACTTGTCAAAAATGCAGCTCTTAAGAACATCTTACAGATCTATATTTAGGTCACAGTGGAGGATTACACTAGTGGCTGTTACTAAATATAACATAGTAAGAGATCAAGGGCAGTTTAAAAAAAAGTTGCTGTTTTGATATGTGAAGCATTATTTACAATATTATTAGCATTATATCTGCAGCTGTTACTGAGGATACCATGCCAGCTGTTTGGAAGCACGATTGCGTGATGCATGCAGATGTCCATTGCCTGTGCCCCTCCAACTCAAGACTTTTTAAATTATCCTATTGTCCTTACAGAAATGCTCATGTTGAATAAATACCGGATTCTTTTGGAATGTCAGAATTTCTGCTAAAGCATACATCTTTATGGTTTATTACAAAAGCCAAAAACATTTATTGTATTTCAAATATTGAAGTCTGCACTTGGTCTTCATCATGATGGTGATGAACAAAGATGTAAAGATGTAATAGTAGATACCAATTTGCTATGAGGAAATTAACATTAAGACATTTTTAATTTCTGGTTTACTAAATACTATTCTCTCAAACTGTACAAAATTTACCTTTTTCATAGAGGACTGTTTCCGGAAAGTATGCTTGTTTTGAGCAAGAGTGAATTTGCATGTATAATACATACTGCTTTTCTCATATCTCAAATCTGTTAATAATGCTATTTATCTTGTGTCTTACGATGTGCCAAAGGAGCAAGCTGCCTTTGCGTGTGTTCTCTGTTGTTTATGTATTCCTCTCACACGCTTATGTGTCCTCATACGGCCAATTAGTCCTTGCTGCTCCCCTTTGCCTAATAAATCTTGGCTCTGTCCACTAGTGACACGGGTACTAATGGGAATGTAGTTCTGCTGCTGAGCTGTGCCTTGTAGAACACATGGTAAAAAATGTCAAGTGCTTGACCTGTGACCAAAGCCTAGAGTATTTCATCTGAAAGCACAAAAATATTGTTTGAAAGAGGGAGATAAAGGACTGATTCTTGTGGTGAGTAACAGACTTCCTCGTGGATGTCTAACAATCACAATACATTTGTTTGCATTGGTTTAAATGTGTTATCAAATGAACATTCCTTATTCTAGCACTCAATTTCTGTACTTCCGTGAAAATAATGGTCTAGTACACTAAAAAATGTGGCCTCAATCAGTTATAGCAGACCCTAAGACAAAAAATTGTTTAGGGTTTTTCAAGCAAATAAAAACAATTTCAAAAGGAATGTATTAGTAATCTACAGAATTAACATTTTACAATGGAAAAATCAGTTAGGTTTGAATCAGATATGTTTTTAACCAATGGGAATTGAAGGCAGAGGGGTAAAAAATTGTAAATTATAAATGTAAAATGATTTCTATGGAAATAGCAAATGAGAAGTTATAAAGTAGAGAAGATTGATAAAAGGACATCAGAGTGTTTTATTTTAAGTAAGCTGACAAGTTGATGTACCTAGGCAATATTGAGTACTTTTTTCAGTGATCTGGAAGAAACTGTGAAATCATTACGAATGTACAAGTGACACAGAAGTATTGAAGTAGTTAAAAGTGCAGCCAGGCAGGTGCAGAGACCTGTTAGTACTACTTGTTAAGCAGGGCACATTAGGTGAGCAAAGTACCTGTTAAAATAGCCAGTTATATTGTTAAAAAAATTGGAAATGTTAAAAAATAAAAAATGGAAAGATGCCAGAATGTTTAAAAAAAAATAAAAAATAAATGTATCTTTCAATTTTTTTTTTCAAGAAAGAATGTTGATTACATTGTTGATTACACCTTCATAAGAAAAAAAGTACTAGCTATTGATGAGTTCTTGAATGCAACAAAGATATTAAAAAATAAAATAAAAAATAAAATAAGATATTAAAACTAGAAGTGAAATCCATTATTAACAGAGAGGAGCATCATTTGAACATAACAGCAAGAAAAAATGGGTTCTCTGTCTTACAGAATATCAAATCTACAAAACTTTAAAATGTTTTCTTCAGGTGGTTGTGAGCTGTTGGTCTTGGCATTGGAGAAGTGAATGAATCTGCTGCTCTGTGCATAGCCAGGCTAGAGAACCCTTCTCTTGACTTAAAGTGTATGAATATGTAGCAGGTTTTGTTCCTCATAATTTGATAGATCACAAAAGGTCAACATTAGCTCTGGACAAACATGTAAATGTTTGTCCTGAGAATTACAGCAGAATTTTTGTAATTTCAGTGTTAAAATGTTTATCTGGGACAGTTCAAAAAGTAAAAGCAGCTGCATGGAGAGGTGGTTTGGGGACATAACCTGTGTGTTTACTCTCTTAAGAGTAAAACAAAATAGCATTTGAATAAGCTCTACTAAAAATGATTCAAAATGCTTAATGCTTATTTGACTTGACTTGGGGGATTGCAGCCATAGCAGAATAGATGAAACATTTTTTTTCATGAAGTGACAGTGTAGTGACATAGTAATTTATAGTAATCAGCAGATATAGTAAAGTGTATGGACACGAGGATGGTTCTGGTAGGTATTTCCTGAATACCAGTGGCTGATATCTGCAAGCACCTTGTTGCTGCTGTTATCAGCAGCGGAGGATTACTAGTTTTGTTGTTTTGAAATTAACAGATCGGCCTGTTGGACTGATTCACTTCAGTGCCTATGAGCTAGATACTAGAGGCTAACTGCCTTGAGCTGTTTGAGAGGGGTCAGAGACGCTGGGGAAAAAAAATCTGCCCAGAGTTGTGACTGAATGAGGATGTGATACTGTTCTTTCTTCCTTTAATCGCTCCGACCCTTCCCATGCTCTCTTTTTTGTCTTTTATTTATTAAATTAATTTATTAAATTCTTTTATTTGCCTGTTGTTAAGAAAAGCTGGTTCCAGTCAGCCATGGGTTCTGCCTGTCCGGGTTGTGTCTGGGACAAGCCCAGGGTGAAGCTGCTTACACTTCACTTTACTCTTATGTAAAATGGTCTTGAGAGTTTTTATTTCACCATAAGTCTTCATCACTTCTGTTTCTATAGAGACGAACAAAATGGTGTTAGTTTGTCATCAGTGGGGACTGCCATGGGCGAGAGAGGGAAAGGATTTTAGTTAAAATAGTTTGCGCTACTTGTTTTATTCTGAGTGGGTATGCAATAGGATCTTGGGAAGAGTTGTTGTGGAAGTTTCCAGGAAGCAAGACACACAGCCTCCTGAGGGAAGTGCACAGGACATCACTTTTTACCAGTCTTATTTCTGGAATTCATCTCTATTAAACAGACTTGTAAATTCTTTTCTAGTTGTGTTTCTAGCAGCTCTCTTTGCACAGGATATTCTGTAACCCTGAGCTATTTCTTTCATGTGTGTTGCATCTGCACTTCCCTTATCCCAATAAGAAGACACTGATTTCTCATAGTTGTAAATAGCAAAGTGAGGCAGCTAGGAGTGCAAGCAGGCAGCAAACACGACCGAGACATGCAAATGCCTGTAACAATCTCTGCTCCTCACCCTCTCTCCAAAATAGACATCTTTGCAGCTGTTGCACCCCTTGGATGGTTTTTTAATCTCAGAGGAACTGAGCAGAGCTCTTAGCTTGTTAGAGCCACTCTGTGCATCGTCTATCTCTCTCTTTCACACACACATACAAAGGGTTTGACTATGGAAAGTGTCATCCACACAGCACGACTGAATTCTTTCAGTTATTGTCCTAGGGGATGCTGCTAGCTCCTACCAGGCAGTATTGGGAGCGTTTCCCTGTGCAGCTGACTACGTAGATGTAGATGTTAAGCACATCTGTCATGTTAATGGGCCCCTAGCGGTGAATTGTTACATCCTTGGTATAAAATATCCGAAATAACTTTCAATATGTTGTATGGGAATTTAGCTGCACAGTTGAGGCTGTGTACATTCCTTGCACTGCCTGCGTCTGAAGACGAGGCAGCAAAGCAAATAGTTTCCAAGGAAGCTCTCGTCTCAGTGATGAGGGAAAGCAGCTTTTTATAAGCCACTTCACATTTGTTTTGCCTTAGCCCTTGTTTTTGTCCATTCTGTAAACACTAGGTGAAATATTCTGTGACTGCCAGCGTACTTTCTGTGATGCCCACGTAGGGACACAAGCTATATTTTGAAACACTTGAGAAGATTGTTATACAATTCTCACATGTTCTTTACTTGCTTTCAAGTTGTTATCCATCTTTATTTAATGCTCAAACTGTACTGTACAAATGTAGTCTGCAGTAGCAAGTTACTGTCAGAGAGTGGGATGCTGTCTTAAGTGACAGGTCTTCTCCAACCAAAGAAAGACCCCAGACTTTATCTTCTAAAATTTCCTCTTTGTTCTTGTAAAAATTTAGTTATGTGCCTTGATCCTTCTCAGTACAGCAGTCTTGGTGATTTAATTTTGAGGACCTGTTGGTTTAGATAGAATGAAGGTAGATTTATTTGCAAGTTACTTGTTTACTGTGCACTCAGCAGTATTGCTGAGAAGCAGCTTTACTGTCCTTGGCAATACGGTGGGGGACTAACACCTACCTATATTATTGTCCTCATCAAACAGACGGGGGATGTTAGTCACAGAGGGAACAAAAGGGAAGATTTTTTTTTTTTTCAAAATAAATTTTCCCAATAACAAAAATCAAAAAGTCACCACTGATGTCACTGAAAAAACTTTTTATGGCTGAAAGGACTGAAGTTGCTCTGTTAACAGCTAGCCAAAACCACAGTTCCTGCAAAGAGAAGGACATTCTGCTTCAGCATATAAATTGACAAGCAAGTTTTGAAAGACAGATGAGTTGAAATCAGCAGGAAAGTGTAGATGAGAAACAAAGTCCTAACCTACAATACCTCTGTGTGTTACCTGAGCTAACGGAGGCCAGGACAGAGGCAGCAGCGTGTGTGAGGCAGAATATTTAACTCAGCTTCTCGGAAAGATAGACTAGTTAATACGGTTTGCTGCTGATTTGAAGGAGTATGGTTACTTTGAAGTAGTCCTTGAGTGGCCTGGATTTAAGTTTAATTTGACTTTATTATTGTAAACCTGCTCTGGTTGTTTCTTTTCTTGTACCCACACACTTCTGTTAGGCGTTTCACAGTGGCAACTGATCATTTCTTGTTGTGGTAGTCTCTTAGCCCTTTCCTCTGATATTCATCACAGCTTTTTTTTTTCTCTCACATTAGAAACCTGTAAAAGCTTATTTTTCAGATCTTGTCAGAGGGGAAAAAAAGCCATGTGTGACTCACAAGTCTGATATATTTTGATCCTTGTAAACCTCTATTTTTTGATTACTTGTTCAAAAGTATATTTTTTAAATTATTAGAAGGATGTATTGTGCCAAACTTTATACACCCAGTGAAAACAAATGTCCTTGCTTAAAAACATTTAAGCAAGATATTTGAAATAAACCTTCTCTGTGTTGTCAGCCCAAAAAATTCTGTAGGCTTTTATGGGCTCCAGACAGGGAGCCATAGACATCATTTCTACAAACGTGCTGTAGAAATCCATATGCTCTTCCTTCTAGCCACAGAACTGGAGGTTTCAGGTGGTGTTTGTTGCTTCTTCTGTGCTCCTGCACTGGAAAAGGTCTCACATCCCCTTCAACCAAGCTCAGCTTTATATATATGAAAAGGAACCCGCACACGTCCCAGATGTCCATCCCTGGCTGCTCCTCTACTAAAGGGATCTGCTGCAGAAATGAGGACAGACCTCCTCGGATAGCTCTTCTCTTCCTGAGAGACGTTAACCATAGCTTAGTAAAACTTCCAGGTACAGGAAGCTATACTACGTGCATTTCATCGCTTAAAATTAAAAGTGGAATTTGCTGAATTTTGGATGTTTGATCTTGAAGGTGTAATATTGCACTCGTGCTATTCTTTGTAGGTTGAATGTTTCAGAATTTTGTTTTTGCTCAAGAAAAGAAGATAAGCTAAAAGTAACTGACCAGTGCAATTTGAGTTTTCTTGTGAATCCTTTGAATCCAGAAGTTCATCTTGGATGGTATGCAGGTGTAATGCATAAATGGTATTGGGTCATCCGCTGAGATTTAGTGCAGTTTTTAAGACTCTCTCCATTTTAAGAGGGGTGGAAAATGGAAATGGAAAACCCTAACTCCATGATAAAAATCTGTTCAATGCTGTTTTCTCTTACTTTAAAAATTCAAGACTGTAACCATATGGTTCTAACCAAGTACCTTCACTGTTTGGTTTATTAAGTAATTTGTATCACTGTAGGACCTTCACACAAGGCTATGAGGGCACTCTATAAACATTAATTAAACTCTATGACACCTATGAATTGGAGGCAAGTACTGTTTTCATTCTTCAAATTGGGAAAATGATGCACAGAGAAATCGGTGGTGCAGTTCTGTGATACAAATCTTTGCAACATAGCCAGCAAAAGATGTTTGTTTGCTGTCTGTCCAGTGATTCCTTCAGCTGTGCCAGTTCAAGTGTTTGCAGTCTTATGCTTAAATGGAGTTAATTCATAAACAGTATGTATTTGTTTTCCCAATCTAGTTCACTTTCTCTGATTTGGAGCACGGCCCCACACAGTGCAGAAATGGTCTAAGGGGAAAGTAATCTAAGGAAAAAGAGTCTCTTAACTGAGTTTACCATAAGTTAATTAGTTGTGCCATAGGTGAGTGGCATTGGCATCCCACTGAAGGCAGCAACAAGGACTCTGTTGGTTTCACTGAGTTTCTTTGCCGGTCTTTAGCAAAGCCAAAAAGAGAATCAAACCTGTGGATGCTTACATGCAACAAAAACCACTACAATTCTTCCCTTAAAGAAAAAAAAAAAAAAACAAAACTAATTTATTCTGGCCACAGCATTCTATTTCCTAACTTGCTTATGTATTAATAACATGAAAACTAAGCATTCTCTAGTTGGAAAAAAATGTTTATTTTTAACCTGAGGAGCACTAATCACAGATAAATATACAATTATGTCACATCCTAAGGAAAGTGAGTGACATTAAGTTTTTATTATGAAAATGATATGTCAGAGAGGTGGCTCTGGGAAAGAGCTGTAAGAAGATAATAGTAACGAGGCCAGATCATAAATGATGATAAAGGTGTGATTTGCAGTCCCTCACAAGATAGCAAATACATTGTTAGCCTTCATTCTGCACCTCTCCATCTGTGTGTCAGAACAATTTCTCGATCTATCTTTTATGGTCTTCAGGCTGTTTTGACACTCCAGCAAGAACAGCCAGGTTTAATGCACTTCTTTCATTGCCTCTCTCAGCCATGAGGATGTTCCTCCCTGGCTCAGCTTTTATCTGCAAATGGGGTTGCTTACTACAATAATGGGAAAGAATTGTCTCTTTGAATTGGAGTCATTTCTGTCTGTGGTGCTCATTGCACAATTTATTGCATCAAGCCAGGCAGTAAACAGGATTTTCTTATTCTGCCTTTCATATGCAGGAAACAGAGGAAAGCCAAACAGTTCTTGCAGATGGCAACCTGGAATTAACTCCACCTAAGCACCAATAGCTCAAAGTGAATTTCTGCAGATTTCAGCTTGTTTCTTGTGGCATGATAACTGTCCTGCAAAAGTGGAAGTCAAACTCTTTAAAAAAAAAATGTATTTTATTGTAAGGCAGACAGAGGATGATGGCTTTTACTTACTAACCAGCAAGGCATTTGAACCAGCAGTTCAGCAGTGAACTTTCTCTTTCTCTCCTTGTTGGTGCATTTGTGCCAGGCGAGCTGTTTAACAAAAGTCTTAAAAGTCAAGTGTGTGGCAAGCAGTTGAACATTCTTTTTTGTTCGCTTTGCCTGTCTGCATAGCTGCATTTTTTCCTTGAATTTACAGCTTCTGTCAGTCCTGTACTTTTAAGAGGCAGTTTAGCTGATTTAGGAAGTGAATCAGTAGATTTAATGGACTACACTGATCTTACTTTAAACAGCTAATTTTCAATATCCCTTGGGCTATTTGAGACAAGTAGGGAGAACTGTGCTGGTCTGATCTGATTACATTTCATTGTAGTCTCCAATGATTGACTATTTAGTACATCTGAACTGGGAGGAAAAGGTTTTCACTTTTAAGATTGCCAGTTCATATGGATTTCAATTTAGTAGAAGCTGAAGTAGTTTTACCATATTTATGTGATGTCTCTGTGAAAGTAGGTGGGCAGAGTCCAGATGGTTAAAGTAAAATAATTAAAACAACAACAACAAAAAAACGTCCAGTCAGGTTGACTTCATTTGGAAAAAAACACTAACTTCTTGCCTGAATTCTCACTATACAACATAGTTCAGTCAATCTAATGGAGCTTTGTAACTTTGCAGCATGTGCTGCACCTAATTGGTAGAGAGAAAGAAGATACCTTCATTATATAAATCTGAAAATAAAAAGGAAAAATAAGGTGTTCTCTTTGTTTTCTTTAGACTCTTTAATTCTTTATATTTTAATTGACAAAAATTAGCTCTGTAAATAGATTCATCTGTTCATAGTTTGAGGCAATTCCATTTACCGTGCATAACCGTGGTTTTATTCTGTCATTATATCACAGTGTGTTTTCCAGGGACCTCCATTCTTTCAGTTGGAAGCTGCCAAAATGCTTTCTTGTCTTTGTTTAGACTGTGCAGTTTCTGTTTTGAACAAACCTCATCTCTGCCTCCTCTGTGCCTTTGTGAAGTTTCAGGGGCAGATTAATACAAACTTTTCATAAAGACCTCCAGTATACGTATCTGCTCTGATAGACTTCTTTATGTAGTCTATCTTTGGGTACTACAAGTTTTGTTGTATATATTTTAAATGTTGTTTCTTGTTCAGGTTTTGTGAGCTGAACACCTCTGGGAATAGTTTAGATCTTCACAGCTGCGTGGTACTTTTGTGTTTAATAAAACCAGCATGCCTTCCCTCTGTTAAAGCACAAGGTTATTTTCAGTGTGGATTCTTTGAATCTTCCATTTGAATCAGGTGTTAAATTCTGAATTTGCACAGTGGATATTTGCTGATGCAGGGGATGATGTGTACCTTCCCTAAACACCCTCCTTCTCCCTCCTCCTATATCAGCTCAGATCCTTTCTAGTTGAAATCAAATACCGGCTAATCATAAAATGTATAAAATAATGAAGGCAATTCTTTAGAAAGATCTGTGCCAACTCTGCTGTATGAAAAATTCAGTTGTTCCTACCTTGTGAAAGTCTCCTGTGTTTGTGCATGTGTTCTCATATATCTTCTGTAGAATGTTGCCTAATTTCTTTTGATATCTGACTAACCTCGTTGCAATTTCCACAAGCTGTAGAAGTGACAGAAAACTTTTACATAACATGAACTAATAGTAGCAGGTCTGTTATAGCTGTTGAATTATTCTGTGACTATTATTCAAGTCCCTCAGTATTTGCCATTTGTTTGGATGACTGACAGTAGACAAATTAGACCACAAGTTCAGGCCAGGGTTAAGTATTTTCTGGTGTGTTCTTACAGCACTTGCTGAGATGAAACCCTAATGACAAATCAGAGGTTCAAAGCCCACTGCAGTACGTCTCATTACTGGTATGCAGTATTGCCTTATTTACTCGCATGTGGAATAGCCCTAGTTCCAGCAAAGGTGTACAACCCCTCCTCAGTCTCCTGTCTGATGCAGCATCCCATTCTGCAGGCTAGCGTGCAAGAGTTGAGGTCTGTAACTGCCAGGAAGAGTTTTCTGCATCTCTGCTAGTAGGACTGTGGAGGAGAAGTATAAATTTGTCTTCCTCAACAGCAGCACTTGGTAGGTTAAGTCAGGAGGGTTCCTGTTCCTTGGTTTTGTGCACTTCTAAGACTAGATATAGACTCCAGTCACTGCCCCTTCTGACTGGGGATGGTAGGAAGGATTTAATTTAAAATCTAGCTAGTTTTTAAGTATCTGACAGCTTGGCCACTTAGCATATCCCATGTATACCTATCCCTGACAGTTAGTTGCCTTACAAAACTAGATAGTAGAAAGCATCACATAGTTTTCTCAATGTAAAACCACATGGGTTGGAAGGGGTTGCATTGTTACTGGCTCTTAGTGCTAGATGATTCCTCTTTTCCAGTATGCTTTGTATCTGTGCTGACAGAAACTTCAGGTCATTAATAATAATCTTCTGTTTGAGCTATACCAATGCTTTTCAATCCTACCTTGGTAGTAGGCAGACTTGCAGATGAAGAACTGATCTGGAAAACAAGGTAAGAGTCAAAAGAAAGAATGAATACAAAATACCTCCTTCAGTCATGTTCAGATGCTGTACTTATTCCTGTTCTACGTGTTCCGTATCTATTGATAAGCAGTAATGCCTACCTTAGTTATTTTTGCAGCTGTGTGGATACTGCACGATTTTTTTTCCTTGCTGAAGAACTTTTGGAGGGTGGATGAAATTCTTCAGCCCAATGGTGATGCTGTTTCTTGTGCAAAAAGAACGCAGTTTAGAATAATACATATTTTAAAACATGGGGCTGTCAAGGTGACACTTATTTTTTATGTTTATCTGCAGAAATTGGAAAAATCTGACTTGGATAACTGGGAGAACATCAGAGGACCCCAGTTGTGGGAAGATTCCAGGGCTGTTCAGCAGCAGCGGCGAGAGGCTGCCCGTCTCAAGACAGAGTGATCAAGCAAGCCTACTTGCTGCCCACAGAAAAAAATCTCAGGCTGGACTATCTTATTTTTTATTCCACTGTCAGGAGCAGACATGGGAGGACAGTGTTGCTCTGAGCAATTCATGCCAGTGTGTATAACTGTGAGAGGAACCCAAAAGGCACCATGTTGTACAAAGCTCTTTGTTTGCATCCATTTGCACAGTTCCACAGGCTGTATGTGAGAGTTCTCAATAAAAACAAACAAACAAACAAAAAACAACAGCTGATTATTTTACTGAGTATATCAGATTTTTCCTTTTCCATTTCAACAATTATTGTTTAAAGCTGAGGTGTTTCAGCAAGAGACATCATTTCAAGAGTCACTTTTCAGTACCACAACGAGAATAGCAGTGTTGTCATCTAGATGTGTGTGACCAGACAAATGTCGCTTCAGAGAGCCTCTGCATGACTTCAAGCTCTTAAGCTTGGAAGGGACTCCACAGGTATATCAACTGTTCAGGAACAGTGAGCCCATTTTTGGCTAAATAATATTCTTGTGTTTCATTTCCAGGAGCTTGTCTGTGCAGAGGCATGTGCAGAGTGTCAGCTGGAAATTGGTTAAATAATATTTTTTTTAGCTATGGGCAGATTTTTGTGATTGGTGTATTGATGCTTTTGTGCAGGCAGGACATTTGCATTGGAGCTTCTCAGCCTCACTTGTAAAACTCCTTTTCAGGGGA